CGAACACTATTTTATCCATACTATCTGTGCAACACGATCAAAAGTTATTTATGATTGACGTGTAATCTGACGTAGAAGCGATTGCATCGACGCATAAAAGATTTTATAGTTATACTAAATTAAAACGCGATTGCTCAAGCGCAGAACTGATTAAATTGCCATGGTGATGGAGCAGGATCGGGGGGGGGGGGGGGTTGGTTGGTTGGTTATTTCGGCTGTCCGGAGTCTTATCCCATCTTTTCAGCACGGGGATTATTTTTCCCGTGAAATGCTACCGGAGGACATTTCGCCTAGCGGCGTGTCCATCTTCCGCGTGCGTGCATGCTACTATCCCCTATACATAATATATATATATATATATATGTGTGTGTGTGTATTTTTTTTTTTCTTTTAATGCGAATTTTACGACGCGTATTTTCGTGGTACACGCTTTTGCTTTTTATTTGATGGTCGTGAAACATTTGATATGCAACTGTACGAGCGCTGTTCACGGTACGCCGAACCGAGCGCACGCGTGCCCGTTTTTGCAAACACACACGTTTACTTTTTCCCCCTTTTTTTTAACAGCGCACTTATACCCAAATCTGTTAGCTGCTACGTGTTTCTTCTCTCCCTTTCATTTCGTTGTTTTTTTTTTCGTTTCGCTTTACCTTAGTTGGATAACAAAACACCAACTACAATCGTCCCTTGTCCGATGCTTGTGTTCGACAATGCTGCAGCGTGGTAATGCCTGTTCATTTTCTTTCGCAGACGCGAGTCGGTACTTCAGTTAATAATCTCGAAATGTACGGCTGCTTGTGTAAACGCACTGTCATTTGGTGATCCTAGTCTGCAGATTTCACACGTTTGTTCGCCGTCGATTACTGAACCTCGACTGTTACTCTGACCACCATATTGACCGACGTGTTCCAACATATTAATGGACCTTTCCACCATACATGGAACCTTTACTGTATAATGTTATTATATATGATAAAACCTAAGTTTTCTTCCCTGTGGTCAATAAACCTTCTTGAAACATTTGCAAACAAATTACAGGTTTATAGGTTGCTATCGTATTTGTAACAATGCTCAACACCTGAATTCCATGAAATGAAGAAAACAGAGGACAAATAATGTCTTATTTTTCCAATAATATTTTAAATTCACGTTCAAATCTGTGTCATACCATTTATACAAGATTAGAAGAAACTATTATATACTCACAGATATAAAAAAGTACACGATACTAATATTTTATTTCGTAATTTAAGATTTTTAATAGGTCTTTGAGACAAATAAACAGAAATAAAGATTCTTCAATTATAATGCAAAATATTATGCAAAATGACATTTTCTAAAGTAATTCATAAAGACAAGAACAAATGTAGGAGTTTTCTTCTTCTCTTAAGGGAGGGGCGGGGGGGGGGGGCATTCTGGTGAAAAATAACTACCAGTAATGTTACACATCAAATATTGAAAATACGTACTTTTATATCACTTTTACGCTGAATTCAAGTATGTAAGAATTAATTTTGTAAACAAATTTTTTCCATAATTTAATCAGAAAATTTCAAAAAATTATCGGTTCGTAAAAGTCATACGCTTATATCTTCACTATCACGTACATAAATTCCAAAGAAAATTCAGCACGTAAACTTCAGTTTAGTCAAAGTTATTTTAATTGGAGTGTGAATTATTTGCAGTATATACATATAGTTTGTCCTTAAGGGGGGAGACTCCGTGGCCCGTGCGCTGTATCCGTGCACTCACACAACCAACGGGAACCGTGTATGTATATGCGATGTGCAAGAGAGACAATCGATTTCGTAAATTCCAACTTCTGTCTGAACAATTGCACAAATTAACTTTTCACGGGTATAGAACTCACGGGTAGACTTCCCTACAGGGTGGTCTGGTCCGTATAAACACTAATAAACACATTTTAATTGAAAGAATTAGAATTTTAGAAAGTGTGCGATTGTGACAGACGCCGATGAAAACACACAAGATGGCTGCACAAGTCACATTTTGTCAAATATCTCACGATTTAATGGTTTTTTCGTCAAACGCAGACCAGACCACCCTGCACACCACTATCACACTATCGTAGAAATCCAATTTTTGTCACTGTATCACTTCTGGAACGCAGAAGTTGGAATTTACGATTCGACGCGTCCAGACACAGAAATAAACAGTGGTATAGTTCAAGGATTCTCCGATAGAGGCGTTTATGGTATTTGTCAGTCACTTTGGCCTGCGTTACCACGAGCATCGATAAAACAGAGGGAGTCGGTAAATGTAACCTCGCAACACGTGGTGGATCGTATCGATTGTTTTGTTACGCTGTTGCCATTCGACAATTCTGCCCGTCAGGAGAACGATGGAACAGCTACGGCCTACGGCTCGTGGCGAGATTTCGATTCTCGCGGAACGTAGGAAATAACGACGCGAGGGAAAGAAATCCGAGAATTAAACAATACGTACTAATGTGTGCAAGGATGAACCTTCTTATTCGTACTTGCAATGATGCTTATTTTTTTAATTAATGAAATTACATACGAGATACTTGACATGATATTCTCGAGAAACAAATTGTAAAAATGGCACAATATATATTCCGGGTATTCCACATACGAAAAACATGGAATACTATACAAATCTCTTGTTGGAAATGATATTTATTTATTTTTTATTGACATAATTGACGCAGGTGTTATATACTTACACAAATATTTCATAAAAGAGACACAAAAGGAACACAATTAATCGCATACGCTCTGTCAATCTTTCATTCGTCGCCCAGCGGAGATAGATTTTGTACTAACAACTGATTGCTGTCGCATGCGTACTTAGCGTATCATCTTCGCTGCGTCTGCACCTGTTCCAGTACGTATTTTGTTTTAAAAATTGGACCAAACGACTTGAGTTTTTTTGAGAAGCTAGAAGGATTAACTTATTAGATGACATGTTTTCGTTGTTTCGAAAAAATTACAATTGTTGGAATAGCGAAGAAAATAGTAAAAATATTAAGAAGTCCTTTTTTCAATTTTTTTCTGATCCTATAGTGAAAATTTAACAAATACCTCTTATACACTTAATTAAGATACGTACACGCTGAAAATTGCAGGGTATAAGTTACAAACTATTAAAAGTGGTTAGACTTACAAGTTAGAGTTACAAATAAGTTACAAAACTAAAAAACTCGTACTTTCGACTTATAAACCTGAAGATTTTTTACTACTTCGGTGCTCGTAGCTTCTTTGCTTTGACCGACGAATTTTGTTATGACTGGGCCCGATAATGGTGGCCTGACCTAGGTCACTCTGAAAGTCACCATCGGGTGTCGATCGAAAACCAAGAGACAGGAATACTGTTTCGTTGAACGTCGACTAGAATGGTCATAAAACCAGCTTTCGATTTCACTATTGTTATTAAGCAGTATTATTGATATATATACATAGATAGTAATGATATACTTAGTCATGACAATAAGGAAACTGTAACATCGCAGCTTCACTTTTCTTTTTCTTAGATATATAAGTCTACAAGAGGCATATTTCGAATGTTCATTATAGGCTAAGATAAAAAAGTTGAAAAAAGTGTCTGTTACTATTTTTGTGCGTGTTTTGTCAAACATTTCCCTGTACATTGTGAAACAACTAATTACAATTAAATCATTAAAACTTAATTATCTAGACTAATCTTTAACTTCTCATAAACATTCAAATCATTTTATGGATAACTAGCTGACGTACCCGCTCTCGCGCGGGCAGTTTCATATTGCAAATCATATTTTAGTTCGTATATACAGACTAGACTGTAATATACCGTGAATAAATAAGCAGCATAGAATTTTGGATAGTGCAATATGAATCACATCGATTTGCGGCTTTTTAAACTTTTTTGTCTGCCTCAGCTCATCGTTAGCTAAAGAACATTGTCGCTTGACTGTTCCTTCGACTAACTTTGGCCAGCAGGAATAAATGGGCTGTTGAGCGCCGGGCGAGAGGCCAGCGACTGACTAGGAACTGATAAGGAATGAAACGCATGAATGCAAATTTAATCTTTTATAGTTTTCAGTATACATTCATTAAAGTGTCACGAATGAACTGAGGAGATTCTGTCGGTGGAAATGAGTCCAAATACGACATCATTCGGATTATTTTCAGTAATGTATCAGTTTCATCCGCAACATTACGTATGAGTAACAATTGTCCAATTACACTGGAATTTGGACGCATTTTAATCGGGAGAATTTCTTCAATTCATTCATGACATTTTCATTACAATATATTGCAAATTGTAAAAGTTTAAATTTTCATTCGTGCGTCATTCCTTATCTCATCTACGTCTGTTTACATTGTATGCCGATGGGTCGGTCGCTGGCCTTGGACGTTCGGCGAGAATCGAAATCTTGCCACGAGCCGTAGGCCGTAGCTATTCCATCGTTCTCCTCACGGGTAGAATTGCATGCGGGACGTGAGGCAACAGCGTAAGAAAAACGATACTGTCCGGCAACACTGTCTTCGCGTAGGAAATACACAAACCCAGCTTGATGGTAACGGGGAACAAAATTTATTTGTGGGTATTGCCGCTAGATGTCGCATTATCAAGCCGTCCGAAATATCGATTTTGTGTTTTCGCTGGCGTCCGGTTGTTTACATCGGCGCTTCGATCGATTCGGAGTTGGCCCCAAAGGAGTCTCCCCCCTTAAGGGGGGAGCCTGGTGTAGCGGGTCAAAAAAATCGATTTTTTTCTTCTTCATAAATCAATAGTTTAATACCTTGCAAATGTCCTCCCAAAGCCACAAAACGAAATTCAAAAAATTAAACCTGCTACAGATGTTTTTGTTACGGAGTAGACGACGCAGGTATACCAGAAAGCGCGCGGCGCAGCGCGACGTGCTCAGTTTCTCGGTCCGTTATAAGTGAAATACACAAATTATATTGAAGACGGGGACTCGAAGATATTATTGCAAAATAATAAAAAGTGAATGCGTTGGTCACGTTGAGAAAAGGATGGGAAGTCGCCTGCGAACTGTCAGAAAATCTGCCAAACTTGGAGGAAAAGGAAAACTAACAGAGGCCCTTATTAGAAAACTGACAAAGTATTATGGTCTAGCCATAAGAAGGAATTCCGAATCTGTCGAAGAAATGCAGAAGGCTATAATGGCCACTTTTTTCATATAATATCCACCGACAAAAAGCCGCTCCATCAAAACTGTTCGGCAGGATTTGACTCGTGGTGTAAATGGCGCATCGCAGAGGCTGCAGGTGATATAAAAAACCACAGACACCCACCTGCACTTCATCCGGACGTTCAAAAGAAAATTCTTCCAATTTATAAAGATTTGTCACGTCTGGATTTGTTAGAAAGATGCTTAGGGGCCCATACGCAGAACGCAAATTAGAGTTTTAATCCACCGTGTGGCGTCTGGTACCTAAGCATTTACATTGCGTCTTCAAAATTGTTGAAATCGCTTCCTTCTTCGCTGCTGGACAATTTAACGAGGGATACAGTTTTGTTCTACAATTGATGCAAGAGTTGGGCTTAGTGATTGGGCATAAATGTAAGATGTTCGCCAACGTGTACGACGCGCAGCGGCTGAAGAGACAAGAGCGTCGCAACTTCAGCAGTACCAGAGAGGCACGAATTGCAAGGAAGGAAAAGAATGCGACCTTACTTGAACAGTTTGAGGAAGAGGAGGGTCTACTGTATGGGCCTGGTATAGCGGATTAACATGAAACAGCTCTAAGTATCTGAAAATTGTTATTTATCTTCACCGAAAACTTTAAACGTGTTTTTCTCGAAACGACGTTTCTCAAATTGGCGTGCAATGTAACTAAAAAAATATTCAACCGATCGAGTTGGCCTTTTGCATACATATTCGTAAAAATTTTCTTCATCGAATGAACCTATTTTTTCAATGATATTGTTTAAATAAACCATTCTTTTATAAACATTTAAAGTAAAATTTAGCCGAAAAAAGTTAATTTTTTCTTCAAGAAGCTGCAATTTATACAATTTTGTTTCTATTAACTTATATTTAGGTTCATTCTATGCGTACACTCTTTAACTAAAGATATCTTGTTGAATATTTGATTTCAAACGAATATAGCAGACTGTACGTTGCACGCCGCGAAACAAGTACATCGCCGACAGAGTGGGAAGAAGCTCTTATAACTTCGTTAGTTGTCATCCTTTTTTAATAAAAAAAATGTTGTTATAAACTATAATGTAGTAGTATAATAACCTATAAATTTGAGAAGGATCGCTTGAGTACTTTCTTCAAAAATAATTCCCGAATATTCCTCAATTTTTGGCGAGTTACACCAGGCTCCCCCCTTAAGTATCTTATTGGGTTGACAATAAAATAGACAAGCTGCATCTGATAAAAATTTTGTCTTCTGTTGTATTTCACAGAGCCCCGTAGATTATAAATTCATAACATTCGCAATCTGTTAATAAGTAACGTGCTCTAAAATTAAAAAGAAAATAAAATAAAGGCTTGAAGTCACTTTTTGAACGGCGTTCTCCCTCCTGTTTGCTGCTAATGGGAATCCCATAATTCTAGCATTTAGTATGTTAGCGTTAACGTATTTCGAGTGGAATCAAAGGCGCATGACCTGGCACTATTTTATCTTCGAAGGATTTATGATAAGGATTTAAGCTGTGTACGGTGCTGGAAGGGAAGGTGTGAGACTAAACAACCTTCATGTCATGCGACGGTTGAAGACTACGTTGAGTCCTTCAGCTATCGGCAATCGTAATTTTATTTATAAGAAACAGATTCCAGAGGGGGATCCCCCCAGTGGTGGAAATAATGCTGTTGCTCGTAACACTTTCATCGAGGAATTACTGTACGTTGCTTCGACCGTATGAAAGACAGTTGCAACATTTGTGGCGCCGTTGTACGGCAGTACGGCATAAAAAAAATCTGTCGATCTGTCTTTCGAAATGTTTGTGCGACTTGCCGTGGAACTTAAAGTACGATAAATTGCATCACCTATGGGCCATTGCAGAGATGTCAAGCAACCTGTCGCGTCGTTGCGTTGCCTTAAGATTAACGACCGAAAGCACTGTTTGCTCCTCTGTAATGCTCATACTCATACTGAAGTTGGTCATAAGTGATGCGGCAAACACTAGCGGGGAAATATTTGATTTCTTTTAAATTATTCAGGGAGTATATAACTTTTTTTCTGCTTCCACATATCGATGGGATATTTCTAAGAAGCAAATTGCAAATTTCACACTCAAAAGTCTTAGTGAAACAAGGTGGGAAAGCAGAATTAAAGCTATAAGACCATTACGTCTTAATCTGAAGAACATCATTGACAGTTTAACTGAATTATCGAATGATCCTACTCGAGATGTAAAAACTAAAAATATGGCTCATTCACTGGCACAAAAGATATCATCTTCCAAACTTGTATGTTCTATAATTATTTGGCATTCTTTGCTTTCAAAGATAGCTATTGTTAGTAAAATACTTCAATACACGAAAATAAGATTAGCCCAATGTGTCCAGGTTTTAGAAAATCTGCAAAATTAAATTATTAAAAGAGAAACGACGAATATTTCAATATGTTCATTAATAATACTGTTATAGAACCTGCGAAAATTAACATATAACCAGAATTTCCTATAATTCGCCGTATAAGAGGCCACCTTAATTTTTCTAGGAAAGCAAAGTTGATTCTGTTCCAGATTCTAAACAGCACTTCAACTATTGTATAATGCACTTTCAAATAAATCTTTATTTTACCATTTTAGATCACATAAGCAATTCTCTTGGTGAAAGGTTTTACTTAATAGATGAATGTGGGTCTCTTTTCAGCTTTTTATATGGTTTTAAAAGAATGGATAATGACGCCTTAATGAAATTGTATAAGAATGGATTTAGGCATAAAATTGTAGTCAAATGAAAATAATATGCTAAAAAGGGATTTAGATGGTACTCTATTATATGTATAATGAAATATTGTCGTACCAGGAAATTTCCCCTCACACATCTTGTTTCCCACATTTTACTATTGCCTTTTTTTAACACTGTCGATTTCCGTTGCGTCTGGCGAGAGAAGATTCTCAAAACTTGAAATAATGAAAAATTATCTCTGCCGACAATGTTCCAGGGAAGACTAAGTGACCTTGCACTTACTTGTATCGTGCATTAAAGTATCAGAAAGTATAAACTTGTCAAATGTGATACACGAATTCGCATCTCTAAAAATCAGAAAAGTCATTTTGAATAAGTAAGTAGATTTATTTTGTTATTTACTTTTAGAATATTGTAAAAAATATGAAGATTATTTTTGTTTTTCTTATTTTCTATACAGATAATTACTAAAATAAAATACACAACATATATTTTACAAGTGAAATTATTTCATTATCCTATCATATATGAAGTACGAGTATTTTCTTATTGTCCCAAAATTCAATTTTAACGAAATAAGGGGGCGACGAAAAGTGGGTCTGCAGTAGTCTGCACAGGGGCGGTCAAGTACCCAGGACCAACACTGAATTTATATTAACGAAAATTTTGTAATTGTTCCCTATCCAGTCGCAAAATTAATGAATTATACTAATTACACAAAGGAGAATTTTCACAAATGTGAAAATTGACGGTCGGAGAAAGTAAAGACCACATAATGAGTGGGACAAAGATGAAGGTAGACTCGTTCATAGTGAGGAGAAGGTATATTCATGGAAAAGCGTATAATGCGGTTTTATGATCATTAATATCCGCGAAGCTTTGGTATCAATTACTGACTCCCAGCTGTGTTTGTTCACGCAAACCTTTTCTCAGTTCGCCGCACTTGCGCCCCCTTTTGCAGCTATTAATCGATGTGAAGTGTTACTATGTAATGTGTTTGTCGAGTAGCGCAATGGAGTATCCGTACAATTGGGGTATGATACAAAAACGCTGAGCTTTCTACTTTCCTCGAAACGAGGAAAAGAAAATAAAGGTCGCGAATATAGTACACTATACTTTCATTTCTCTTTTAGGGAAAATTTTACAACATTTCTTTGGCAAAGCGATTTTGTAAAATGAAAGTTTAACTAGTGTGAAGAGTGTTTACAGTTACGAAAATGGAAGGATTGAATTTCTATTGTCCCTTCGTCATATTTTCATCGATTAAACATACAATTGAAGAGTACGTATAGAAAACACTGTAAGTGCTAAGAATCAAATTTTTCAGGACGAAAGAAACGTGATTGAACTTTAAATTCTTTAAAACATAGATTTGTTTTACTGCTAAATGTGAGTAAGAATACAATAACCAATGCATTACAAAATTTTCTATTTTTTTCAGTAATGTAGTCCAAAATTCATGGAGAAGAAAATTGTTTTCACTCTGAAATCACTTGAAAAGAGTAAAGAAAAATCAATGCGCCATTCCTTTAAATTTGCAAACACTGTAAGTACCAATTTTGTTTGTTCCCAGATTACTTATACAGAAAACCACAAATTATAACGCTTGAATTAGCACTTTCAGTGTCTCGAGAGTGTCGACAATGGAGGTACCAGTGATGACACTTTTTAAAACACTATTGCTAACTATTCACCAAGTGAAATTGCGCTTACATTGTATACTACAGTATTCACATTGGCACTTAAAACATTTGTAGATAAAAGAAACAAATTTATCTATTTTTGCACTTACAGCGTTTTCTACAAGAATCCTTCAAAAGACAAAAGACTAAATCTAATATCATATCCATAAAAATCTTTATTTACACAAATATTCGCACTGTAATTATTATTAATCTATTTACTAGGTGTACCAATAAGTAATCCACTATACATTGCCGAAGTCGTTATTCGTTGCTATAGAATGCATATAGCAACTACACGCTACACCATTGTTACGCAATTTAAAATCGAGAGAAGTAACTTTTAATTTAAAATATTACGTCTCATAATTTAAAAAAACAATGGATCACTTATTTGTACACATAACACTATTACTATTGTAAATAGATTGCAGGTAAACTAACGTAAAAAAGGAATGGGTCTTTGTTAAAACTTTATTTTGATCGTATTTTACAGATTTGCATTTACGACAAATGCGTAAAATCTGCAGTCTAAATATACTATGTACCTTACTGAACATTGTGGATTCAATTCAATAAAACAGAAAAATTATATGATGTCACTAACCATTGTCCTTCCTCCATCATGTGAATTTTTGTTGAAAATACGTCGGTTTATACGCCAGGAAAAATTGAAAAACTGATATTCTAGATTTTGCGCAATATACCTACCACAGGAAAACTGAATTATTCCCAACAGTTTTACACCTATCAATTTCCGGTGATGTAACGCGTATAGCTCAACTGTTTCCATGCTTTTTCTTTATCATATGCTTTGAAAACTTTCGTAAAACATGAAACGTATACAAATACCGTCCACCGTATACCGAGAATTTATATAAAGTGAACTATGCGCCTATTTTTTACCAGTTAGGTACGTGGCAAACAGAGTATATTTAATTCCCATACAGGGTATTTCACATAACTTGACCACCTTAAATATATCGCTTATTTTGTATGATAGAAAAAATATCAGGGGAGAAAAATATTCTGTTCGAAGGCGCCAATACGGTGAATGGGCCGAATTTTTTTCTCAAGGTCATTTTTTTTCGAGATTTCAAGGTCATCGAATTTTTTTTAAATGGAACTACATATTTTCACTACAACACTCTTATAGCATATAAAAAAACAAATCCAACGAG